GGCTGCTCTTTGTGTGAGGACCCCCCTTAATCAATATGCTTTACTGGAGAAATTTATTTAGTGCCATACATGGTCCACATGCAAATAATAAGGTGAACTGGCATACACACACACACACACACACACACATTGAGACAGCCAATCCTACAGTGTTTCCTCTACATTCCCAGTGTCCCCACAGGATTTTGTGAGACTGTGTTGGGTGCACATTGGTTCCTCAAGTCTAGTGGGTTCTGCAGGTATAAGAAAATGTTGTTCATTTTAAATTTAAATGCATAAATCTGGTGCATTTTGAGAGCAGAATCAAGTGACTAGATCAATGAAGAAATATGTGCTCTTGTAAATAATTTTGTGTTCTACTTGTAATTTATCTATTGGTTGCATAGATGTGAATGTGATGGTAGGGCACAATTGTCACTATATAAATTCTTATAAAAGCTACAAATTCTATTCTGTCAAGAGAAGGGAGTGATTTTCTCCTAGTCTTTTCAAATCCCATTCTGTCAAGAGCAGGGAGGGATTTTTCTCCTCGTCTTTTGTTGTTTGGTTATCATTAATGCTGACACTTAACTCAAGACACGAGACGAGACACAAGATTTTTTACACATTTTTTAAAAAAATTCTCAATGACCAAATACATGACTGGAAAAAATTAATTTAACTAATCATCTTGTAATAAATGTCATTTCAGTTCTACTTTCTGAGTATGAATTATCATATGCAGTAAAAACAACAACACTCAAGCACTGTAAAAGGTTTTGTTCAACTGACTGGCTTCTCTCCTGTATGATTTCATGTGAGTCTCTTCAGGGAGTCACTCTCAAAACGCGAGGTATTAAAATCGCTTTTGAATGCGCATGCGCGTTTTACTTTCTGTTTCGATTTAACGATTGTGCGAAGTCTCGGCGGTGCTGGGCGTGCATTCTACAATACAAGACATTAATTTTGTCAGACGCTCTGCAACGAATCCTCCTTTGATGTTTCTTATGGGCCAATGAGGGTCTTTTTTGTTTGAGCTGAAGAAAACTTAAAATAATAAAAAAAATAGTCCGGCCAATCCGAGGCCCCTGCACACGCTGCAGCCTAGGCAAGCCTGTGCTTTAATCCACGCCTGCCGATGACGCTTTGGACCATGATCATGGTCCCTTGATCTTAATTTCAGCTGTCCAAAGAATGCTTTTCCAGAAGTGCTCTGGCACTTTAGATGATTTTTGGCAAAGTCCAATCTGGTCTTGTTTGCACCTTCTGGTGAACCCTCTGTATTTGCTCTCATGAAGTCTTCTCTTGATTGTAGACTTTGACAGTGACACGTCTACCTCCTGGAGATTGATCTTCTCTTGGCTGGATGTTGTGAAAGGGTTTTTATTTACCATGGAGAGGATCCTCCGATCATCTCTTTTACCTGCTTAACTGATGTAGAAATAACGAAAGAATAGCCCATCTGTCCATGAAACAGCTTTTGAGTCAACTGTCCAATTACTTATGGTCCCTTGAAAAAGGGGGAGGTACATATTAAAGAAATGTAATTCCATAACCTTTCCTCCAATTTCGAGAGAATACCCTCAAATTAAAGCTCAGAGTGTGCACTTTAAGCCCATATTTGTTATATAACTGTAACCAGAATATGTTTTGGTCACCAGCTAAAATAATAAAAATTGTGGCAGTGTCCAAATATATATGGACCTAACTGTAGATCTTTATGACGGAGCGAAGGGGAAAGATAAGAGAGGAAGGAGAATGTTAATTTCCTTTCAGCTCCTGGATGTAGACCAGAGCGTTTGCTTTGAATCACTGCCCTCAGATCTCCTGTAGCCTTCCAGGCATCTCACTTCTTCTGAGACTTACTTCTCTGCAGAGGAGGGGCTCGAGACAGAACTCAGACAGAGACAGTCCCGAACCCTGGAAGGTTTGTGGTGTGGATCTGGAACGGAGCGGTATAAACTTTTTTTTTTTTTAAAGTTGCCAACCACGCCTTTGCCTCTCTAAAAATTTCAACTACTGTCTCAACAGAAGTTCCGAAAATCTCAGAGGGCAATACTGGCACATCGAGTAGGAAATTACTTTCTTGTCAGCCCGATGTCAGTCAGATTAAACCACAGATATCCCTCCATGCCCACTAATGCCACCATCGAATGGCCAATAGCAGCAGCTGTTTGTTTGGTAGCCCAGAGAGCTAAATCTGTGGTACGGTGTAACTTGGCCAACTTGGTCAGGGGAAAGGCAAGGCCCTGGCCATCATCTAGATCATTTAGCAGGTCCGCCTATAGGTTCGCCTTGATTTTTCAAAGAGTCTGGACAAATTTGTCTACTTCAGCCAAAGTATGGAAGGCGTACAATCTTTTCCAGTGTGTCAGCAGGAGCCATGCTGGAAAGATATTCCAGATACTGTATACCAGCAGAGAAGTCTGGATGAAAACGGACTTGTTTGTTGTTGTAAAGAACATTCCCTTTGATTCTGGCTGCCCTTAGTACTCACTCATTGTCTTTGAAGCTCAAGAACTTCATAATCAGAGTCCTCGGGCGTATCCAGAAATGCAACTGTGTCCTGGCCCTCTGCTTTCTCCGGTAGACCCACCAGTCTCACATTGTGCCTTCGGCTTCTGCATTCCAAATCTTCCACTTTGTTTGAAAAGGTTTTAATGATATTTTCCAATGTGCTCACTCTGTATATTAGCCCATTAATGTTGTCATCATCAGAAATACGTTGTTCCGCTTGTGCTATATGCCCTGTGCATTTATCTCCTTTCTTACCTCCGTAAATGTTGTTTGCACAACAACAATTTTCTTAGAAAGTCCACTTTTCAAGGATATTATGGCTTTCATAATATCCTGGTTGTTATTTCCACCCAAAGTTACTTCGTCATCTCCTTCGTCAGGGCTGTCTTCCGCTAATTTGCTAATTTCTTCATCCTCTGAATATTCATCTTCGTTTCTTGTCGTTTTTCTTGTCTTTTTTGCCTCCTTTGCGTCACATTTTGATTCCCTGTTGTAACGAATCATCCACTGAAGGTGAGTTGAAGTGAGAACCCAAGTGCAGTTGGCAGACGTGATGTGAGCAGGCCCTCGGGTAGCAGACATGATGTTATCAGACTCTGGCTTGGCAGACATAACGTGATCAGGCTTTGAATTTGTAGACATGACATGAGTAAACTTTGACTTAACTGGCATGATTTGAGCAGGTCCTGGAGTAGCAGACATGACGTGGGCAGGCTTTGGGGAAGTGTCATGTTCCTCCTCTATGACACCCACAGAAACAATTACAAAATAAAAGACATGAAAACATGAACATGACAAACCCAACCACCACATTACACCTGTACTCTTATATTCGTGTTGCTTGACATTAAATACAGTTCTGGTTGGTATTGTAGGATTAATTACAAACTAGCAGCAGAGCTAAAAAATTGCTACCTTAGCACCTCGCCATAACCCTTCTTTATTGTTCTACTCAAGAAAAAAAGTCACCTACATCTTAGATGGCCGCAGGGTGAGTAAATTAACAGCAAATTTTACATTTTAGGTAAAATATCACTTTAATAACGCTATAATCTCCACCCCAACACTGAGCTGAGACTGCAGCCTGGTGCTTCTGTCCTTAGACGGCTGTGACATATGGCTCTGCGGTTCTGCACTTGGTTATTATTGGATTCCACAAGTTATGCTAATAAATTCAGGAATTTTACTTTTCCGGTTGCTACAATGAAAATGTGGTCCCAAGATTACGGAAAAGTCACATATTAATATGTATTACACATAGTATTGTTGAAACAGGACTTCCAGCAACTATTTGTCACAATTAACAAGAATGCACTGTAGAAAGCTAAATGTGAGATATAAGAAACTAATAATAAACATTTGAGTATTTGTAAAACAATAAATAAAAAAAAATTTTTTTAAAAAGATGTGGCTTGAACAACAAGGAACCATTGCAACAGAGTTTTAAAATGTACCCGAATTATATGTTTGTTAAAGAAAATGTTATACCGAAATATAAATATTAAACAACTGTTAGTTTTGATCCTCAGATTTGATTGGTCAGCAGCAATGGGACATTTCACTGTTCATATCGCCCTACTTGTTTGTGTTTTTAGCAATAGGCCTTCAATAGTTAATATTAGGTTCACTTGCTTTTCCCCAAAAGGCTTTGTTTCAGGACTTATAGTATAATATTTGAGTAAAAACATTTATTTTACTTCAAGATTAAGCCTAGATTTGTGTGAAATGACTCTGCCAGTTTCAGCTTGTTGGACAATCACAGCAAACAAACTTCAGCATAAGTGTTGTGAACGTGGTTTACATACATTAACATTTGGCAAGTGCTAATTAGGCATTGTGTGGGTCTAGCAAACAAACAAAGCAGACATACTTTCCATTTGAGGTTAAGAAGACTGTGAGAACTTCATAAACATGAAGGTATTGGAAAAACACTGCACTCGTTTCACAGTTAAACCTCCACTGTAGACAAAGGTGAGAGTCGTTGGTTGTCAAGTGCCAAACCCAGTGGAACATGTTTCTGGTTTTGGTTTAGCACTTCAGATGAATTTAGTTGAAAATAACACTTCACAGTGTTATTTTTTTTACTTAAATTGCAAAGTATGTATAACCAGCTAAACAACTTTCTCATAGAATATTAAGAATGACAAACTCAATCACACACACACACACACATAAAAAAACATACACAAAGAAATATATTTATTCATAATTCATAACCATTAATATCATAATGAAGCAACTTCTTAATAAATGTATATTTTAACCATAAGGCTGAACCGTATTCTCAAGGGTATTTCTCATAAATGTCAGGTCGGGCCAAGTTATCACTTGTGTTTTAAATATCATTATTTTATAATTATATACTATTTGTATAATAATTGTATACTATTTATATACTATATACTATTTATGTATAATAATATAAGGTATTAAAAGCAGTCATATCAATATAAAAGTACAAGATATGTACATTTAAAGTAAAAGAATAACATTCTTCCATTCATTTGCAAACATTTTTTTATTTCTGATTCCGATTTGAACACCAAAATATACTCACAGATGCTTTCTCAAAATAAAACACTTAAAAAAAGCCCAGCAGACAGACTCTTTACACTTACATTTTGTTAAAACACAAACGTAAAAAAAAAAAAAAAAAAAGTCCCGAGGCCTGAGTTTGAGAAAAGTAGGTTGACAAGCCACAACATTTCACACTAACAGACTTTACCACCTTATGAGCATTTAACTGATTACGTTTACTTTATAAAATACATATTCATTTATTCAGGTATTAATTAAACCATTTTTACAAAATAAACAGTCCTTGGTATCTTATAAAAATGTACCTCTTCTCAGTCCAACAGAATTGAAAACAACCAATCTGGCTTCACAAAAATAATGAATATTGTGCACGCTCTACCTTCATATATATGCATCTACAGCCACTCACAAAAGTTTCCACCATGATACGGCTCAAGACAGCTACTTCAAAGACAAGCAGACCAACTAGGTACATATTTTCAAGTAGCATTTATACAATAAGTATACAATTAAATAATAAGTGTCTACTTAATAGAAAGAAAATATTTACCAGGTGATATTTTCTACACACTATTAGAGAACTTTTAGATACGGACATATAAACTATAGCTGTCAATTCAATAAAATAATTGTGATTAATCTCATGACTTCCAACCAGTCTTTAGAAAGGCCTGAGTTTGAGAAAAGTAGGTTGACAAGCCACAACATTTCACACTAACAGACTTTACCACCTTATGAGCATTTAACTGATTACGTTTACTTTATAAAATACATATTCATTTATTCAGGTATTAATTAAACCATTTTTACAAAATAAACAGTCCTTGGTATCTTATAAAAATGTACCTCTTCTCAGTCCAACAGAATTGAAAACAACCAATCTGGCTTCACAAAAATAATGAATATTGTGCACGCTCTACCTTCATATATATGCATCTACAGCCACTCACAAAAGTTTCCACCATGATACGGCTCAAGACAGCTACTTCAAAGACAAGCAGACCAACTAGGTACATATTTTCAAGTAGCATTTATACAATAAGTATACAATTAAATAATAAGTGTCTACTTAATAGAAAGAAAATATTTACCAGGTGATATTTTCTACACACTATTAGAGAACTTTTAGATACGGACATATAAACTATAGCTGTCAATTCAATAAAATAATTGTGATTAATCTCATGACTTCCAACCAGTCTTTAGAAAGCAGAATGAAATATTAATAATGTCAAATGTAGTCGAGTTTAACTTATTTTAAATTTTTACAGCATTTTTCTGAACTTTCCTCAGACTCAGGGTCGAACATCAAGAAAAAGTGAATAAAATAAGTGTAAAATCAGTCATACTCATGTGTTCATGACTTCGGCAGGTTTAGAGCAGCATAGGTGCTGTTGATTTGGCTGGACCGAATATTTCTGCGCAGTTTGGAAAAATCCACCTCAGCGTACTGAAAGAGCAAAATTAGCAATTTCAGCTACAAAAATGAACCAAAATGAAGTGTTATATAACACTATTGTACAGGTCAGCAGCAAGAATAATGAATAATAATCAAGACACAAATTAATTTGAGTTATAACGATGGTTTCACATATTCTTACCTGTAATTGGTCCTGATGCTGTTCTGTAACTTGCGTCTGCTGTAGATCAGCGTTAATTTGTTGTAATTGTTCTTCAGACCTTCTTTTTCCAACAACAAAAACCTTTACTAGTCCTAAAAATGAAAGAGTGTTTCAGATTCAATATTTATATCAAATAAATGGCACAATAATAATTAAATAGTCAAATGCCTAAATGAAGAATATTTACACATTCAGTTATCATCAGCTGACTATGGAGAAATTGATATAAATATTTTTTACAAATTGCTGAAAATCTCTCACCAACCACCACAATAACCAGAAGCCCATTCATCAGTCCCAATATGATGATAATAATCTGACATTGTGCCTGATTCTGATCAGTATACGCAGTCACTGTATGATTGTGACACTCAGTTAGCCCAGTTAGTGGAGTTGTTTCTGTAATAAAAGTGTCCACAGTCTGTTACTGTAAAAACTGCTATTGTTAGTGCAATGGCTGAAAATGTTAATTTCACTGCCTGAAAAAAGGCCAGTTTTACTGTGCGTTCACCATTTCATAATAAGCAAATATTTAAGATTTTATGATTGGATCATTACTGCAGTGATTAATATGTTTGTTTTAACTCTAACTGTGCACTGTGCAGTGCGTAGCTTTTTATTTCTTAAACAGCCATGTTGGAAGATGTACCCATGTCCATATTCCAGGATGATAATGCAAAGATTCATCAGGCTCAAAATGTGAAATAGTGGTTCAGTGAGCATGAGGAACCATTTTCATGTTTGAACTGACCACCACAAATTCCTGAATCTTTAGGATGTGCTGGAGTCGACTTTACAGAGAGGTTCGACTCCCTCATTGTCAATGCAAGATCTCGGCCAAAAATGTATGCAAATCTTGATGGAAATAAATGTTGTGATGTTGTGCATAACTTTGTCGAAACAATGCCTCAATGAATACACAATGCAATCAAAGCTAAAGGCGTTCCTATGAAATATTAGAGCAACTTTTTTTGAACAGGCAGTGTGAAGTCGACTCCAGCACATCCTAAAGACTTTCATTGGGGTTAAGCTCAGGAATCTGCAGTGGCCAATCTCTCACAGTTTGAGCCTGATGAATCTTGACATTGTCATCTTGAAATATGGACATGTGTACTTCTTCAGACATGGCTGTTTGAAAAATTAAAAAGATATTCACTGCATCAGTTAGGGTTAAAATAATTGTTGCCACACATATCACATGCAAGGAACATATTAATCACTGCAATCATAATCCAAACCTACAATTTTAAGTATCTGCATATTTAAATATCTTGTCCAGGCAGTGTATGATGTTACTTATGAATATCATTTATATATAAAATATAGAATATAGATTATATAGAATATATAATGTTTTAATAATTTAAGTAGTTAATAACTAGCATGAATGTAAGCAGTGATCATCAATATGTCTAGATCACTGACAGCCGTAGCTTGACAACAGATTAATACATCTATAACATAAAAAAAAATATTATAACAATAATAACATCAACACTGTGACGCACAACATAAAGCTACTTATAATTTTAATACGTTTACAAAGCATGTAAATATATTCATATAATGTAATAAACTCACATAGCTGAAGCTGAATGATCTTCATGTTGCTGTCGTGATTAAAACAGTTCACTATAAAACCTGATTCCCTCCACACAACATTTGAGATGAATCTACAGCAACTCTGAAACAAAGGTAGGAAGAAAAAAAAATCTTCCCACATCAAGCAGAGGAAGTCTCTGACCACAAAACCCAATTCCTCATCACCATCATCACTTCATTAAGTTAAGCATGTTCGATATTTGGTATATTTCTCAGATCACAACTGAAATTCACTAAAACCATTGTTCAACCTCCACATTATTCAGGACGCTCATGTAGTGTGTTGTGTGTGTTTGAAGGCTGGTATCTGGATCCTGACGCTCTTGTCTAGTTTGGTTTTGGTCCTTAGTTGGAATCCAGATGCTTGTGCTTCATGTTTTGTCTTTTGTTGTGAGCACATGGTGGGGGTTCTTTGACCCTGTTTCATGTGCTTATGTTTTATTTTGTTTTGTTTTGATGGTTTTTGGTCTTGTTCAATTGGCCATGTGCTCTTGTCTAGTCTTGTGTGTTTTTGTTGAGCACATGGCTTATGTGCTTCCTTTGGGTAATTGTGTGTCATCAATCTGGCAACTCTATCCAATACTTTGAATTCGGATTTCAGTGCCCTATTCAGCAGCTAGCTTTCAATATTACATACTGCACCTTTATTTATTTTTATTTTTTTTTCTGTATTGCAATGGCATTATACTGTAATTTGCTCGCAGATCAGCAAAGAGTAAATATGAATTAATTCTGTCCAGTCTCTTGAAATCAGTATCCCACAAATAGTTGTGAGAGTTAAGAGTTTCTTACTGATCAACTGATCAAGTTTTGGCTGGTTAACATGGTTCAGCCCCTTTAACTACCACAAGAGACGAGGCGGAAACTCCCCAACAGTAACCTAGTGGCCTACATCAAACAGTGATATACTGTATATATACAAAGAAAACATGAGTGCTATGAATATAAACAAATTTCCTGTTTTATAATGTAATTTTGACTAAATATTGAAATACAGCCAACAACATTACATAGATGACCAATCAAACAACATTTGGAAAATTATTACAGTAAAGCAGAGAAGGCAGAACTGCTAAGCTTGAGTACACATAATAAAAATAGACAGTACATCCCATAGATCCGGGCCGGGTGTCCAAACTTTTCTAAAAGTTAATCCTGGTTGTTAATAAACTGTCATTTCACACTGCACATTCCTAAACCCTGGGTTAAAGTCCTTATTTCCATATTTTCGGTGTGAGTGTCAATGATTAGACAAACACAGCATGCAACGTCTTTACATAACGGCATTGAGCATCCACACATTTTTCCCCTCAAATGCTGAAATGATTTGCAGTGTTTCTGTAACTTTACATGCCAAAGCATGTAAATATGAAGCACGCGATTGGATGTCTGTTGCCAAGTGTCTAGCTGTTATATTATAACACCACTCTTTTTCACACTGTACAAGGTTGCCACCACAATGCGAGGTTAACACTGCTAAAGCAAGGCTCCAGAGCATGATTTCATAACCCCTGGTAAAAAGTGGTGCTAACCCCGCTTCTCAATTACATGTGTGAAATGTTCCTTTACCCAGGGTTAAAAGAGGTGTTTAGAACGACAATAACCTGGGGTTAAGCACAGTGTGAAAAGCCATTATGTGGTCTGCAACAATCTTTAGGTAGGTGGTACATGTCAATGTAACGTCCATATGAATGCAGGACCCAAGCTTTCCCAGCAGATAATTTTGTAGAGCATAACACAGCTTCCTCTGGCCTGTCTACTTCCCATAGTGCATCCTGCTGCCATCTCTTCCCCTGTAAACAATGCACAACATGGCCATCCACTCGATCTAAAAGAAAATGTGATTCATAAGACTAGGTGACCTTCTTCTTTTGCTCTATGGTCCAGTTCTGACGCTCTTGTAGGCTCTTTGAGCGGTGTATAGGGTCGTCATGGGCACTCTGGTTTGCGGCTTGAAAAGCTCCATACGCAGCAAACTGAGATGCACTGTGAGTTCTGACAGCTTTCTATCATGGCCAGCATTAAGCTTTTCAGCAATTTTCAGGCTTCAACTTGCTAGCCAAGACTTGACATTTTGGAGATGCTCTGACCCATTTGTCTAGCAATCACATTTCGCTCAGATCTTTTCACTTGCCCATTTTTCCTGCTTCCAACACATTTAAATCTGACTGTTCACTTGCAGTTTGAGGGTGAGTGGATATCCAAGGCTGTGCTTAAAAATTGCATAAATAACATTATGATTTTGTTTAAAATATAAAAATTGCTATATAGAAATATGAAGTGATAGAAAAAAAATATGATGATACTTTTAAACATGAAACTAAAATTGCCAGAAGGTGGTGGCAAGCCACTGTCTTAATAAGTGTGTTATTTATTTAAATGATTATTTTAAAACAGCTGATTCATTCGTCAATGAAGTAAGAAACTGTATTTCTGTCATGACAACTCTCGGAGGGATTGGCACGGTAATGTACATGACAATGTTAATGTATTTGGTCTTGGCGGAAAAGATCTGCTACACTGATGCTGCGGCAGCAGAGCATGTACCGAGACTTGCTACTGCCAATACATCCACAACATTCTGCTGTGAGCATGTAAGAAATACTGCTGCTGCAAATATAACATACAAGAAATAACAGGATACATAGCAGGATACATAGAATTGACAATACAAGCCAAAACAAGAACAAAACACCCCCCAACAAGCAGATCTATTGCCAAGACATTTGTACTGCTGCTGCTCCGAAGAGCCATGTGAACCGCATGTATTACTATCTATGTGTGCCTGGGCTACCACTAGTGGCCTATG